GGTAAGCATAGCGGCATTCTCCCCGCTTTCCAAGCAAAATCAATGGGAACTACTAGACACATCTGCAATCAACAACAATTATTGAAGATTTCCAGAGGACTTCACCATTGAAATTCACCAGTGTCATGATTTTATCAAGAGCTCGGACCCACATGCAGAGAAACCAATTCAGAGAGACCAGGGAAAAGGTTTTACAGGTTTTATGAGGAGATAATGCTGAATCTAGTGTTGCTCTGAACACTGCTCAACCGGAACTGGTGAGTGAGGGGAAGACACTGCGGTTAGTTCAGGCTCAGTGGGAAATTTGATTCTTGAACTTGAAGAGAAGAATTAGGTTGCTGAATCACATTTCCAGAAAAGCGTTTGACTCTTTGACCCAGTCTGTATGCTGTAGTTCCAGTGTTTGTCTGATTCGGTGGAGGGCGGACAGGGTTTACCCAGAATGCGGTTGTTTGTAGGTGAACAGAGAAACTGACTCCCGCTGTGATTTCCTGCGGTACTTGAACGGGTTGGTGTGGAGATGAATCCCTTGCTCAGTGTGTAGCTCAAACGATCCCTTGGAGGAAAGTTGATCCAAACCTCCAGCTTGAATCCCCAACTCAGTTTGAAGCTCCGATGATCCTTCCAGGGAGAAAAGGTCCGAAAACATCCAGTTTGCAGGATGATTTCCTGCCGAGAGGCAAAGACAAAATAACTCGGTTAGAACTCAGGTTGACAAGTCTCAGTTTGACTCAGGAAAACTCAGCTTGGCTAGAGTACCCAAAACTGGCAAACACATTTGGGTCGAGGTAGTGGCGGTCAGCAGCTTAAGAACACTCTGTTAACGAGGTAACCGTCAGCAGGTGTGTGAGGAGGCGAACCAGAACCAGGCGCCTCCTGGTGGAGGAAGGAAGACAAACACAGACATAAACCACACAGACTGGATTCCTAACAACCAGAGCTTTAATGAAACTAACAATGTGCCCACGTGCATGGCAGTTGGATGTTTGAATATATCGGGTAAAAGTGAAAAAAAAAGAGTTTTTTAATCTTTCTGATTCCTGATCCTCCACGGACGGGTTCATCGTTGGATTTCATTTTCAATTCAAATAATTTTACTTAAATAGCTCCAATTCACAACACATGTCATCCCAAGGCTCTTTACAGTTCAACAGATCATACAGTTACATCATAAGTTTTCTATCTAAGGTTGATTGCATCGACTCATTGACGCAAAGGCGATCCCTCACACTTA